CTTTGGATCTGTGCCCACCTGTGACAAAGTGTCTTATGTTAGAATGAGAAAAAGACAATGTAGTAAGGTTCTCCTAAAGTTAAATTTCTTCAAATATTAGAGCTGTTTCTGAAGTTATAACCTTCCTTCATTTTGAGTATAAAAATGTCTTAACTTTCTGAAATGATGGTAACATTAAGTGATAAAATACAGAGTAACACTATATAGCCTTGGTTGCTCAGTCATGTCCAACTCGTTTCGACCCCAGGGACTGTAGCCTGCCAGGCTGCTCTGTCCATGGGATTCTCCAGGCAAGAATACTGGAGTGATTTGCCATTTCCTTCTCCAGGGCATCTTCCCAACCCAGGGACTGAACCTGGGTCTCCCACATTGCAGGCAGATTTTTTACCATCTGAGCCACCAGGGAAGCCTCAATACTATAATGGATCTTGGTTTTTTTTTTTTATTTGGAGGGAGGGTTATTCATTCAACAAATATTAAGTGTCTGTCTTTGCTAGGCACGGTTCTAGGCACTGGATCAATAGTAAAACTGACAAAACTCCTTGTCCTCCTGGAGGGCATTCTGTGGTGGGAGATTATGATAAACAACAAATAATTAACATCTGTAAAGCTTAGTTAACAAGAGTTCCTACCTCCTCCATAGGGTTGTCTGCAAGAGTTGAATAAATGTGAGTGCTGAGGAGTTTGTCCTGCCATTGGCTATAACTACAGTGGGAAAGGGAGAGAGACTGGGCATGTGGGGTGGGGGTGGGTTGCTTGTAAAGCTGAGCAGGTTACTGTAGGCCTTACTGAGGAGGGCCATCTGAGCAGACTTGCAGGAGGCGTGGGAGCTGGGGTGTGGAGGACGAGGTAGGCGGGAGAACTGGGCGGCGCACAGCACCTGAGAGGACCGCATCCGGCTCGTCTGATGGGGCGCAGGACGCACGGTGTGGTCAGCACGGCGAGTGAGGAGAATAAGCGGGGGAGCCAGAGCCTGAGGGAGGGCGTGTGATCCTCTAGAGCCTCGGAGGCCACTGCGAGGACGTGGGTTTTACCGTGTGTGAAACGGGGAGACACTGAGGGGTTTTGAGCGGAGAAGTATAACAAGGTGACATGTTTTAAAAAGGCTCACTTGGTTGCTGGGTCGTTCATAACTCTAGGGAAACAAGGGTGGACGCGGGGAGACTGGTTACGGTGCTGTTACAGTTGTCCACATGAACGCGGATGGTCCCTTTGACCAGGGTTGGTAACAGTGGGAAGTGGTAAAAAAATGGTGAAATTCTGGGTATATTTCAAAGGTTGAGCCAACAGATTATCATAACAGACTGGATACAGGGTGTGAGATGAAGACAGGAATCCAAACTATTTGGCCTGAGCAACTAGAAAAGTCTCACTGCCAATAGGGAAAATGGGGGAAAGTGCAGGAGAAGCAGATACAGGGGAAGAAGGGCTCGGAGGTGTAGACAGGTTCAGTGTTGGACATGTTGGCTTGATGACACATGAAATCCACAAGATGGACATTAGGAAACTTCACTCTGAAGTGGACCCATGTCTCACATGCATAACTTTTCTAAATTAATTTAAACATCACTAACTGAATTCTTTGGTTGCTTGGGAGATAGTACCCATTCTTAACTACTGTATTCATTTACACCAATAATATAATAAAAGTTTAGAGCAGAGATCACATTCCTCTTACCCTAAATAAAATATTTCCTCAAAAATTGCAAATTAAAGAGCAATTTACACACATAATACAAAAAGAGGTAGTTCACAAATTGTAAATTTACTCATAACCAGTGAGAACTAGCCATAATATATACTACTTTAAAGTAGTCATTTATTTTCTATACATGATGCCTTTCATTTCAAATATATTTTCAATACATGATGCCCTTTGTTTCAAATATATTCTTATTAAAGCATTTGAATAACAAAGCTCCAATTATGTTAATCAAAAAACAAATGGGAAAATCACATAAGAGTTTTCTGCTCTCAAAATTATCCTGATTATTAAAAAGTGCTGGAACTGCAGCAATGATGATCATTTCTGGCATCATGGAATGAGAAAATAACAATTTTCTAAAAGACTAAGTCTAAAAGACTGGTGCTATGAAGAAAGCCTTTAGAAGATGTTCTTACTGATCAAGCAGTGTGAATTAATATCATGTTCTAACCTTAAGGGAATAATCTCCAGCAGATGTGGAAGAGAGAGACCGGATTCCTGTCTGCATTTCATTTAGAAGCTGGTGGTCTCTACAGGTAGGATTCTCCAACCTTAGCCCAAAACATCTTCCAAAAAATTTAAGTGATGAATTTATACATTATCACTTACAGAAAATAATTCAAAGAAATGTAATTACATTTCCTTCTCCCTCCCCCCTTTTTCTTTCTGTGAGATTTGTACTAAATTGAGGCAAAAAGATGAGTAGAGGGAAAAATAAATGTGATCCAAGTGACTTCAGAAAACTCTCTCAGCAGAGAATCTAAAGTTGCAAACCCGTCATGAAAAGCACAGGGTGCAGATGGTGCTACAGTTTAGAACTTCACCAAATTGTCTGAAGTCATCACATAAAAGAGAAATACCCCTGAAGACTGTCATCTTGGAAAAAAGATTAAAAATCTTTGTGAGTTCTTTAGGGCCAGTGCAAGAGTTACTGTAGAAGTTCTTGTTTAGTAATGAAACAGAATGGGGAAAATAACCGGTTGTAGCCGAGAGCTACATTTGGTGGCTTGAAATCAGCCATGGTGAGAGTATTTACACCACAGAAGTCGGCAGATGATGCAAATCAGGGCTTTGCTTGCCTTCTGTTTTCTTCGGAGCCAGTTAAAACAGTGCACCATTGAAAACTGCCCAGGGATTAGCATAGCCCTTAGAACCTGTGACAAAGATGTTTGAGTATGGCTTTGCAAGGAAGATTTTGGGGAATAATGAGTATTCTTTCCACAAGCATACTTCTTGTGGGGACTTCTAATACTCATCTTGTTAAAATTGTTTTATTTCTCTAGGAATCCGGATTTCATTGAATCCTTATTAGAAAGGATTTCTCTAAAATATGGCTCCTATTTCGCCTTTATTAAAAGCTAAAAGAATGGAGATAAAATATATACGGGACAGGAAACCCTCCTGGTTTCTAGGAAGCAGAAGTGGTATCCCAGGATAAACTGTAGTCATTGGAAAGGAGTCAAAGCCATAGAGACACCAGACCTCCTTTTTTTTTTTTTGTGAATGACGGTGTTAAAGAATGTGACCCCTCTTAACTTCTCTACACCCCGTACATACAAATTGCTTATACTGATACAACCCTCAATGGTAACTCACTTCACACATCCATTTTCTTTCCTGTTATCACCAAGATTAAACAGCATGTTGGGGCAATATTCTGCATTTATCTAACCTTTTCACTCAGGCCACAGTGATACAACGGCACAGGTTTATGTACCTCACACGTCAGATCCTATCAAGAGACTTGGTAGTGACAGTTTGATAAGGACACCACAGTTTATTGAACTTGTTCTAAAAACAACAGCAGCAAACCACTTATCTCCTCACACTTTTTTAATGACCTTGTTCTGTGGTGTCCCTGTTTTTAGATGCAGCAGATGTGTCATTGACTGCGTGGCCTCGGAGCGTAGAGAGAGCTGTGGGCATGTGATAAGGTGCATTTTGATATTATACCATTAAGAATTCTAGAGATCTGCATTTCTCCAATTACCTATTGAGAAAGGGGAGGTCCAGAGTGAATTTTAACTTTCACCTTGCCATCAGCTTCAACCAATGTGAAAGAAATGGCTTGTCAGGAAAATGAGGAAAAAAAGATTGCTGGGAGTTGCTTTTCTCTCTGCTCTCCACAATGTCCAGCATCACCAGAGACAGTGAACAAGAAGGCTACCAGACTTCACTGTTTCAGGATAACACATCCCTAGAGGATGCGCATAGGGAAAAATAAGCTCAAATAAATGTAAAACTAGAGTGAACTATAAAGGCTGATTTTCTTACATATTTTCTCTTTTTTGAGTTCATTTTATTCTTTTTTTGCAATTCACATGGCCCAAATATGTTCCTGTGACATTTCCAAAGATTTTACTATAAGTACATTTAATATCATATATAACACTTTAACCATGTTCTTAAGCTTTTTAAAATTGCTATTGCTATTTTTTGGTTAAATTCAAAGTCAGTTTTATTATAATGGTGAAATTCTGATTAGATTGTAGTCTCTGTAGAATTTCAGATCTTTCTGCTCCTTGCAGTTAAAGCAACATAAGGAGCACTCAGCCCACCTATTTTAATGTTGTCATTCAGTTATCTTTTTCAGCCTATAAATACTAGTCTTCTGGTTGTGCCCTAGAGACCTGTGGTTCCGTCTGTTTTGGAGACAAAACCACACTGTTTTAGGTGGACACAGTCTTGGAGGAATGATAGAGCAAATCTATGGGGTACTTCAATACAAACAGATCTAGTGGTAATACTTTTCAACAATAACCAACAGAGACTTTGTGAGTTGAGAAAAGAGCCTTTTGCTTTGTGTACCTCTGTAATACAACTGCTATTACAGTGATGAGGGAAAGACAGGGCACATTTCTAAACACTGGCTTATTTTTTGGTGACTTCGCATCTATTTCTCAGAAAACTTTTATTATATCCCTCTCCTCTTTGAAACTTTCTCCTACTTCTGAAGCAAAAAAGAAAGGGATTGTCCTGTCTTCTCACCCCAGGTTCTAGATATGATCATAAAGAATAAATTATGAAATATTCCAGGCATACCAAAATTTATAGAGGAAAATATAGCGAGGATTGACTACCCAACATCTGTCTTAAGAAATCAAACATTACAAACGTAAGCTCCCTGTGTGTTCCTTTTGCCTCCTCAGAGGTAAACACTATTTTTTGTTTTTATACTTTTGCTACATGTGTACATCCATAAACAATATATAATTGTGAGTTGCACATTTTAAATTTTTATATGGGAGGTCTCCTTTTCCTCATTATTTTTAAGAGGAACTAATATACAGAGGTCTGGTTTATTGATCTTTACCACTTACAAAGTATTCCACAGCATGGATATACAATAACTTATCTAGTCTTTGGTTGATACTTAAATGTATATTTAGTACAGTTCCCTTGAGCAGTGTGTGAGAATTTCTTTAGTAGGCAGACCTAGGATTTGAAATTTTGGATCACTGGATACGAACATTTTAAACTTCACTAGATATTGCTGGTCTCAAAGACTGGATCACCAGCGGTGAAGCCGGCAGGTTGTTTAACAAGCTGTGATCAAAGTTTGAGATTCCGTCTAGATGGGGGTAGTGGTGGTGGGTAGTATGGCAAGAATTTGCTTTTCTAACATGGCCATAAGTGAGGCTGCTGCTGCTACAGCTGTAGTGTCTGGGACTGTGCTGTGAGAGAAACTGCTATAAAGAAAGCCTGCATGTGCATGCCAGGTCGCTTCAGTTGTGTCCAACTCTGTGCAACCCCACGGACTGTAGGCTGCCAGGCTCCTCTGTCCATGGAAAACCAGGCAAGAATACTGGAGTGGGTTGCCATGCCCTCCTCCAAGGGATCTTCCCGATCCAGGGATCGAACCCACATCTCTACATCTCCTGCGTTGGCAGGCACATTCTTTATCGCTACCGCCACCTGGTAGCTTCATAAAGAAAGCCTACTGGGTTCCACTTCAAAAGAGAGAACTGATGAGATACTATCTGAAAATATGCAGCTGGTAAGGTTTTATTAGGTAACTGAGAGTTAACCTGTGGTAATAATTTTGGCATTCAGATTCTAGAAGACATTGACTAAATAGTATAGATAATAGAGAGTAAATAGCATGACTGATTGTCATAAAAGGCTAAATTCTGAATGAGTTCTGTTGCCCGGATGGGACCTCTGTACATGCTCCTGCTGTTGCTGTGCTGAGAAGGGCAGGTAGATGGTGTCAGGCCATGGTGTGCAGTAAGCTTGGCTGATATTACTTGGTGCATTCATTAAGCCTAGGTACTGACCTAGATGCAGGTGGCAACATTCACTTAGGCGTTCCTGAAGAAAGATTTAAGGCTATTAAGTCTTACTGACTTGGCTATTTTTAGATATTTATATGCAAAACAAACCTATCAATCTTTGTATTACATAATTTAAAAATTATATTTCAAAGATAGCAGAATGCCAAGGGGTTTTCCCTGAAATATTCTTCCTGTAAAACTTTTGAAAACAAAGGCTTCACAGATTTTACGGTAAAAAGATACAAACAGGCTTGCACAGTCTGCAAATGGTTAATATGAAAACTGGAAGGAAAGAGATTTTATTTCAGATTTAGCATTATAAAAGGTCAATTAGAAAAAAGAAAAAAACATATACCAGTAGCCAAAAGCATTTGCTTACATCATTCCACAATTTACATAAGAAGATAACTGCTTTTCAAAACCAGACAACAGGTTCAAAAATACTTCTTTTCACACCCTTAAGTGATGTTGTTGGGAACAATGGCTGTTATAAGGCCATTTATTGTGGGCACGTTTCCAGTGAGTTCTGGTTATCATTACTCTCATTTTATCTTCTTTCTTTTTTCTCTCTCATCAGCTTTTTGCTTTCTTCCCTTCTCCTTTTATTCACTGGATTCCGAGGATCATAGATCTCAAATGTGTCTGAGTCTTGCATGCTTGCATCTTTCACTTTTCTGCTTTTATCCTCAAACTGAAGTACATGCGACATCCTAAAGTGGGAGAGAGATGGTTCACTGATTTTGGCTTAAGAATTGAAAGAAGTTCTACACTACACTTGTCTTGGCATAATGAACCAAAAGGCTACAAAACATCAAGATGGGTTTATTGTTTACTGGTGCTTAAACCACATGGAAACCAACTTCTCAGAAAACACTTAAATTTGAAAAACATGTCTGGAGTTTGTTTTGTTGGTTTGTATTTCTAGTAGTGAGTCTCTGTGCTTCAGTCTTCACTTGAGGTTCCTTCTCTAATGGGAGGTTAAAAGAGTTCTACCCAGAAGTCTTCCTTCAACTAAACTCAGAGAACATTCTGTCAGCTTCCTTTAAAGAGCACACTCACTGAGCCAGAGTGAGCCAGGTTGCAGAGAAAAAACCCTGACAGTAAACCAGTCCTATCTGATTTGTTTTGTTTGCAGTAGTTAAATGGGTCAAGTAGGGAATGTGTTCAGAAAATTCCTGTTCAAATGGTGTTATGACTCCCTTTTCTGGGGAGTTGCTGAGTTTTAAAAAAAATTTGTACAAAAAGAAACTGAGCTTTGGGCACAGATCCATGAATTAATTTCCTCCTCTTACTGTTGATTACAACAAATCTAACCACCCTACTTCCCTACTTTATCAAATGCTTACTGGTCTTAAGGTATCAACATGTGCTTGAATCCTAAGTGGTCATAAGCTGGCTATGCTTAGTGGCACAGAAATGTGTAAGTGATTGGCTCTACCCCCATTAGGAGGTGTTGGGAATAAATAGGGAAGTCCCAAAACTAGATTCTAGGGCAGCTGAATAAATTTAGAAAGAAAAAAGTTCAGTTTTTTGATATATAAGTAAAACTACTAAGGCTTCTTTTTCTCACTAGATATTTAAGCAATTTTTAAAACAAGCATACCCAGCACTTTTCTTTATCATAGCAGATATGGCTAAATTGCCTAAGGATTAACACTCCCCACATGTCAGCTGTAACTTTCAGATGAAATCCAAATATTACAGTGATTTCTTTTTCCCTCTATAAGCAGAAATTGGGCAATAGGTACTAGCAGAAATTCCCACCCCCTTTCCTCCTGCAGTACCACAAATGCTGGGTGAAGTTTACTTGTGTTAAGAATTCCCATGGATATACTTAGATTTTTGAAGAATTCGAAAAAGATTTTGTGAGTGAAATGAAATGTTACAATATTAGTGATACTACAATTGCAAAGAATTCAGTAGGGTTGACTGTCATGAGTTGACAAGCTATATATTACCACCATTCCCACCCTCTTCTTTCCCAGAAAAGCTTCTTAGAATGCAATGAGTACCAGTGATATTATTATATGGATGACCTAGAGTCTAATTTACTAACTGAAGTAAAGCACATTTGCATTTCTGTACTTTATTATTAATATATTATTTGCATTAGATTTCATAACAGTGTCACACATGAGAACTGCTGACTTTTTATACTTTCATGGCTTTAACTTTGGAAACAGCCTTATTTAGAAAGTGCATTATAGGATTATTGCTTATTAGATGGAATCCTCCGAGTATGATTTTCTCATGCTTTCATGTTCTACACTCTTTAAGTATTAGCATCTGAAAATAAAACAATCCTCAACTCCTAGCAAAAGGCAATTACTCTCTAGCCATGGTAGCAAGGGACCATTAGAACCAGACTGAATCGATCAAACAGGATTTAATCAATTAATGATGGCCTGTGTAGGCCAAAATGATCAGTGGTAACTCATTTCAGTAAATGTACCTCTGAGAGCCAAAAAATCAGTGACAGCCTCATGCTTTTGAAAGTTGGCCAGTCAGTGGCAGAACCATACCAGTGAACACGCTTAGGAAAGCCCACCAATCAGTCACCGGCAGCCTCTCCTTAACAGTGGTGTTTCAGAGGCTGTGATCAACTCTGAGATGATCCCCAACCCTAAAACTCTGCATGAGGTTTGCAACCTGCTTTGCTCAGAGACTGTGCCTAAAAGCAAGCTCTTTCTTACTATGCTTTTTTTCCCCAGATGCTGAGAGGTAGTCTTTTTCTTTTTCTTTGATACTGCTTACAATCTATGGAGCATTCCCTACAGAGTGTGCTCTTCAGAAACTGTAAGTGTATTACCACTGACGAGGACTAAGTTTAGAACTGTAGCAAGACTGTCCTGTTAAAGGTCCTTATCACACGTCATGGGGAACCCAGACCCTAACACTATATTTTGGTAAGTGTGCAGCAGCTTTCCATATGACTTGTGCTGAGGCTAAACCCAAACCAGAAAATAGCTGGAATTATATTCCCTTTAAAACAATTTTGTTCGCTACTCCTATATTAATATAAAAATACAACCCCCAATATCCTAGTTAACTTAATATCTTTCCATATACACATTCTTCTATTTTAAAAAGTAGTCCTTTCTCTGCCCCAAAAGACAGATGGGTTTGTTTTTTTTTTTTTGTAATATCCACTTCTAGTAGGGGCTTGTCCATGTTTCAATAATGGCTTTATCAGAATTTGTCAAATAAACCCATTAAAAGGCACCCTCCTTTCTAGGTCATGAGAGAATCTTACAACTACTGGATTTAGTTGGCTTTGGTGTTAAGAAATAAAGTCTAGACATGTGAATAATAGCACAAAAGTCCACAAAAAGAAACAGATTTTCCTACAAATCTGAAAAAACAGAAAGCTGTAAATTAAAGTAGCTGTCATTTTCAACTGTTTGTTTCATACACCACTGCGCTAAACAAGTCCAACATTTTGATTAATAACAAACCTAAACCCAGAGGAAAGAAGGGGCTATCAGCTTACAAACTACTTCAGCTTTAATATCATACTACTTAGCATGGCTGGTTACTCAGCAATAATATTTAATGTTTAATTGAAATAAGAACATAATCAAAATGCTTCACCCATTTATCTTTCAACATGCTATGGTCACTTCATTTTAAAAAGCAAAACAAAACAGTTATTATGTTTTCAGCATAATAAACTCCTGACCTGTGTGCCTTCATAAATCACAGACTGCATGAATTGAAAGCATGCCCACATTTTACAGTCTCCTACAAGAATACACACACAGACTTATCATACAGACTTAATTCAAGTACATAAGGTCTGGTAGTTTATAACCCTGTATGTACTAATAACTCAATACTATCTGCTCTGTGGCTGCTTATAGAATTGGGCCAACAAAAGCAGTGAAGTTTTTGGAATTACACATATCATTTACATATGAAAATTTTAGAGCTTGTTCAGCTGAAGGCAAAGACAAATATTTAGTTCTCATTAATTGAAAATTTTACATAAGATCAGATTCTCAAGGAAGAACACTGACTTTAGTGGTTACAGAAATGTGGAGGCTTTCCATGTCCACAGAGGCTGCGTCTGACAGGTGTATGGTCAGGCCCTTCAAGATGGCGGTTCTCATGCTCTCTGTCCAGTCCCTGCCTCAACCAGTCCCTGCTTTACCACATGACCCATCTTCCCGCTCATCCCCAGAGCCCCAGCAGTAACCACTACATGTGTGACCCCCTGTCCCAGGAAGTGACTGTTCCAGTGCTGAGAGCAGAACCACCCACCAAGCGAGGCTATCAAAGGGGCGCGTCTTGGCCCCGTGGCGACTGTCAACCTGAGGGGCTGGAGAGACTGGATCCTCTGCTGGTTCCCCTGGTAACTGGTGAGCCAGTCTGACATCAGGCCCCTGTAAATGGTGACCGCCTCCGCCCCCTTGCAGCTAAGACCTCTGCTTCCTCCTGCCTGCCATCTGCCTGTGGGGTGGGTGTCACTCCAGGACCTTCTGCTTCTGACTTGGGAGATGCCCTATACACTACACCTTGGGGGACTTTGTCGCTGTTTCTGGTTCTTTCTTTGGTCTCATGGGTGGGACCAAAGGCTCATAGGCCAGTGGGGTGCAAACAGGTAAGCTTATTTTTCTTTTTTGTATGAGACTGTGTGGAATTATAAACAGAAGTAAGCAAGTGATTCTTCAAAAGGGACCTGGATCCTGACCAAACTGACATCTGTTTTTAAAACCTCTTATATAATTGTGAACTATATTAAGATGTGACAGCAGTTCATATTCATTGGGAAAACGAGAGGTCCTTATTCTCAAACATACAGTAAGTAGTATTACAATACAGAATTCCAATATTCATAACTCATTTCTGATTGAAATGCATTTAAGTTATATTTAATATAAACATCTTTCCCATCATCAAGTCTTCCTAACATAGGAACTTACCACCCTGCGCTGAGACTGTTGTAGGTATCTGTATTATTTCTCCTTCTTCTAACCTCCAAAGGCTCTAAAATAATCTTTCTTATGTTGTTGTTGTTTAGTCACTAAGTCATGTCTGCTTTTTTTGTGATCCCATGGACTATAGCCTGCCAGGCTCCTCTGTCCATGGGATTTCCCAGGCAAGAATACTGGAGTGGGTAACCATTTCCTTCTCCAGGGGATCTTCCCAATCTAGGGATCCAACCCATGTCTCCTGCATTGTAGGCAGATTCTTTACTGTTGAGCCACCAGGGAAGCCCTAATCTTTCTCATACATTTTCTTTATAGCATATCCTTTGACCAGAAACTATCAGCTATTGGATTCCACCGAAATACCTTAGCCTGACCCTTAAAACCCTGACAATGGGATCTTCCTAGCTCACCAACTTAATTTTGTTTCTTTCATCAACTTTCACCATTTTGTAATTGCCTGTTTACTTGAGTTTGAACATCAGTTATTTCAGACAGTTTGTCTTTTTCACAGCTAAGCTCTCTGTGCTGGGAATCAAAGCCTTCAGACCCTCTGTACTGGCCAGGCCCCGTGGCTGGAACTGGCTGGTTTGCCAAACTAACACTTAACCTCCTTTCATGGGCAGGGACTGTTTTTTATTTCTGTGATAAACTTCTAAATGTCTAACAGGTTCTGCAGAAACTCTGCGGCTCCGCACAGGCCCACCTTTTCGTGACCTCTCATAGATCGGCTCACATTGATGGCTGCTTTTCCAGTGCTCTCAGATCAGTGATGGCTAGTT